CAGGGCCGTTAGCAGGAGCAGCCGCTCTCCGTCACTGGCTGCTCGGGGGGCTTCTCTAGTTTGATGTCAATCACTGCAGGCACAGTCAAGGAATCACCCAGGACAGGGTTTGGAAGGGTTGTTTGGGGGTTCTGCACAGGCAAAGCCAGGCACGTGGTGAGACGTCTCAGAGGATGGGCAAAAAGAGAAACAAACTCTGGTGTTACAAAGGTGTGGAAATTCCAGCCTCAGCTCCAGTGCAGAAGCAAAATTTGTGCTGGCCATTAGCTGTGTACATTTATATCTGGCCCACAAACAGGGTCATACAATGCTTGGGTTGGAGGGGACCTTAAAGATCACTCAGTGCCACCCCCTGCCATGGCAGGGACACCTTCCACTAGCCCAGCTTGCTCCAAGCCTCATCCAACCTGGCCCTGGACACTTCCAGGGATCCAGGGCAGCCACAGCTTCTCTGAGCACCCTGTACCAGGTCCTCACTACCCTCACAGGGAAGGATTCCTTCCCAATATCCCATCTAACCCTGCCCTGTGGCAGTGGGAAGCCATTCCCCCTCGTCCTGTTGCCCCAAGCCATCACAAATATTCCCTTTCCATTTTTCTTTTTGGCTTCTTCAGGTCCTGAAGGCCTGAATTAGGTCACCCCAAAGCTTCTCTTCTCCAGCCTGAACAATCCCAATTGTCCCAACCTTTCCTCATGGCAGAGCTGCTCCTTCCCTCTGCTCACACTCCAACAGCTCCGTATCCTGCTTCAGTCAAATCCCTGCAAAGCCCAGCAAAGCCCATCCCCACAATGTGCCAAAGAAAGTCAGTAAGTCCAATTTAACACCAGGTAATTGCCCAGTTCCATGGGAAAACAAGGATACTGTCTTCTTTGCTCTTCTCTGGTGTGCTGTCCATCCCAGGTAAGGCAGCAGCCACACGGCGGAAAAGCTGGAAAGCAGCAAGGGAGAAGCTCAAAGCTTGTCAGAAACAAGTTCCTGTTAGAAACATTGTTTTACAGCAGGACTCTGAGTCTGAGGTGTACAAACTCCTTAAGTGGGTACTTTAGCAGACAGAGCAGTGATCAAAAATGCCACAAGAATTTTATGCAGGATATTTAACAGGTTTTAAAGAACTTATATTAAAGAACTTATTCAATGCCTACAAAAAGCCAGTTTTACTTTACCTGTTCCTGCTTGAAGAGAATGTGGAATTAATTAGTAACATTCTTCCAGGGATTCATGGAACTCCCTCCTGCACTTACTAAACATCATTTACCATGTTCAGCCTCTGCTTGTGCACAAAGGGTGCACATTTGGGGATTTCTGATCACTCAGCTGGCACTGAATATTCCTCTGTGGAACAACAGAGCTTTTAGAGCCCTTCAGATCAGTGCTGCTGCCAAAGAGCCATTCCTCAGCAGAA